CCATCTGCTCTCCCATCGGCCTGCTTGTGTCGATTGTAAAGGCTTACGACCATTTTGTCCTACGGGATAGTGTGATCGTACCCTTTGCATTCGAACCACACGAGCGGAATCCTTTCGGAGACCCACAACTGTCATTGTCATAAAGGGAGGCATTTTAAGAGGAATTGTCGGAATAGAGCGAAATGACAATAAATTAGGCTCAAAAAAGACGCAAGCTTAGTCCTGACAGCAATTGGATATGATTCATAAGATGAATGAAAAATATATTCAAAGCTGCTGTGAGAAACATCATCTTTTTATTAATACTTAATAAAATTTGACCAAGGTGGAGATTATTAGTATTTGATCTAATTTGTATGTTAGTTTCAGTTTGACATGTTAGTTTTTTATTTTGATGCTTTTCTCCTTTAGGTTGTTTTAATATAAATAGGGGTGCTTTGTATTTATTTCACTAACCGACAACAAGAACAACAACATCAAAACTTTGTCCCATTACATGGGGTCGGCTACATGAATCCTTTTTCTCCATTATATCCTATTAAAAGTCAAATTCTCGTTTAAATCAAATAAATAAAGACCATTTCTAATATTTTCTAACCAAATCTTTTTAGGCATACCTCTACCTTTCCTAATATAAGTCAAATCTAATACCTCTACTTTCCTAACCAAGTCATCGAAGGGCTGTCATTTTATGTGACCAAACCATTTAAGATAACTCTATCTAATCTTATCTTCCACTGGAGCTACTCCAACATTTTCACATACATGCATATTTCGTATCCTATCTCTAAGGGTAAAGCCACTCATCCACCTAAGCATCCTCATCTCTGCAACACTTAATTGAGAAGGAATAAAATTCGAGTTCTGATTCCTTCCAAATTCAGTGTGATATCTGCCTCTATTGTCCCTCTCTTCTCTCCCTTGGTACAACCATCCAAGAAAAACTGGTGGTGAAGCTTGGTGAAGAGCAAGATTCATATTTGAGATCCATCTTCGATTTTTTCTCAACACTTCCATTATCATTTGATGCCCCACCTTCAATGTCACCTTTCATGGTCAATTGACGTCCTACTCTCAACATGAGCTTTCATCCTTTGCCAACCTTATTGATTGATGATTGTTGCCTCTCATCAATATTACCTCCTCAATAAACAATCTCTAATAGTATATATTCTTAGATTGTATGTCCACCTTCCTAGTTACCAATAAGAGTAGAATTTTCTAACTTCATAATAAAAATAGTGGATCTATTCTAAATAGGGGCCAAGGCTTCATGATTTTTATCATTTTGAGTTTTTCATATAAAAATAATGTACAATTTTCTCTCTTCTTATATGTATGTGTACGTGCAAGATATTTTTGCAATCTTCGATGTAAATCTCAATCTCTTTTGCTACAAATTTTCTAACACACAACAAAATCAAGCAACTCAAAACATAAAGAAAATAAAAGAATCTAATGATGTAATAAATTCCTAATTTGTTAAAGAAATAAATAAACTAATCAGTTAAAGATCTGAATCATATAGTTCTTATTGCTATTCTGTAATCAGATCAAATAGAACATAGTCAACTATGAAGCCATCATAAATGCAGCATGAGATGAACAAAATCTAGATCTGGAACTTGCTAGCAATTTGGACTGATCTCCCAAAACGATGAGAAGCAAGAGCATTATTTCACTTTCCCAAGGAATAAAAAGAAAAAAAGGTCAACTTTGCTGCCAAACTCATCGATAAAACCATTATGACAGAAGTAAGCTTCGTACATCACACAGTACAATACAAATAATGAAAACAAGCAAATATGACGAAGAAAGAAGAATCCTCCCTTGGAATTATAAAACCAACGTAGATTGATTATCTCTATAAGTTTGGTGGGAAATTATGCAATCTGTTTGCTTCCTGCAACATCAACAACAAAGCGATACCTCACATCATTGCGCTCTAACCTCTCCATAGCCTCGTTGATCTGATCAAACTTCACAATCTCAATCATGGAGCTCAAACCCTTCTTCTCACAGAACTCCAACATCTCTTCAGTCTCAGCCATGCTACCAATAAAGCTTCCAGATATGGACTTTCTGCCTGTAATTTAAAAACATATTTACAAAAAAGAAAACTTCAGTATCATTAGCCGCAAATACTTAGAAAAAAAGAAAATTTTGAAAAGCATTTTTATGCCAACAGATTTGAAGAACTCGCTAAGATTTGGACATGTTTGGATACTGGGAATTTCATTTGCTTCAATTCAAACAAAGGTCGCTGAACTTCTAAAAGAGCCGGTAAGCTAATACAACTAAATAATGATAGATTTTGTTTGTATGGTACCTGTGCTTGAACAAATCAATAACTAAACACCAGGATTCATCAATAATAAATGGTGCTTGTGCTTAAATGGTTTGCAAGTTCTTCGTGTTGTGACACTAAATAATAAATACCCCAAATAAAGTGATGATCATAGGTAGTATTGGAAAAAATTCTCTCTATGATAATGCTTGTTAGTTTTAGTTTATTACAAATTATTGTCCAATTGTAAAATCAAGGGCGGATACACCTTAAACCCAGACCAGTGAGCAATTGCCACCCATAATAATAAAAAAATTCTTTATTATATGATTATTTAAGTAATTTGTCTTCCTCCATCTATTTTTTAGTCTTTATTACAAGGGGTTTCAGGCAATTATCCCCCTACCCAAAAAAAAATTTAAAATACTATGATTTATAGGCAATTGTCCCTGACATAATTAAACACATTATGTAGAGGTGTTATTGTTAGTGAACGATGAACTAAATACAAAGAGAAATAGTAAAGAAAATCCAAAAATAGTAAGGTTGAATCCTGCCAGGGGGCGCTGCTCCCTTCGACTCCCGACATATATGCGGAGAGTACAACATGAACTATATGAACAAAAAAAAATATCTACACTTTTATTTATAAATTTACCCCCTCAAAATTAAGCTTGTTCCGCCACTGTGTAAAACAATAATTGAGTCAGCATTTCTATAGAAAAAAATATTTTGGCATTTTGTAACACAATGGAATTCTTTTTATTACCTATGTGTTTGATTTCTGACGTATAAATCAAAGAGCCCCAAAACGCAAAAGATAAAGGGGACGACAATAAAAGCAAAAGAAAAGACAAAAAAAAAAAAGTCCGAACAGCGTGCTCACCGAGCATAATCATGGGCGTGATGAACTGCATCGGCTGATTGATGACTCCCATCAGGATGATCTGCCCGTTCACCTTAAGCAGCGGCAGGTACGGCTCCAGTGGATGGAACACAGGCACCGTATCAATAATGTAATCCAATCCCTCCGCCGCGGCCCCCATCGCCGCTTCGTCGGAGCTCACAAGGTACGCGTCCGCACCCAAATGCTCCATCGCCTCCGTCCTCTTCCTATCCGACGAGCTTATCACCGTCACATGATGCCCCATCGCCTTCGCTATCTTCACTCCCATATGCCCCACCCCACCCAACCCTAGTATTCCCCCCTTCAACCCGCTTCTCATCAGCCCGAAGTGTTTCAGTGGGCTGTACACCGTTAGCCCCGCGCACAGAAGTGGCCCCACCTGCTCTGCTGCCAGCCCCGCCGGAATCTTCACCACAAACCTATTCATTAAAAAATCGATTATGTTAGATCAATGGGTTGATGAACGCAAGGTGTTTGTGTGTATGCCTGACTGACTTTTGATCGACGACCATGGCGGAGGCGAAGCCGCCTTGGGTGGGTTTGCCATCCGTGTAGACGTCGTTGTAGGACCATATGCGCTTGCTGCAATACTGCTCGATGTTGGCCTTGCAAGGCTCGCAGGTGCGGCAGCAACCGACGATCACACCGGCACCGACGGTGTCGCCGGTGTGGAATCGGGTCACATCAGAGCCTACCTCCACCACCTCTCCGACCACCTCATGCCTGATAGATTGGCAAAAAGGTAAATTAAATAATAATTTTTATTTAGACAAATAAAACAAAATTAAAAATAATATGAATTAATCTAAACATAAATTTCTAATATTAATTATTGAGATTAAGCTAATTCTTTAATATATATTTAATTTAATTAGTTTATTTATTATTATTTTTATCAATTCTATTGTTTAATTAAATTATATTAACTGTGATTAATATCCTAATAAATCATCAATTAATCAATTAATAATTCTAATAAAATTTAATCAATTAAATATTAATTATTGATATTAAATTAATTGTTTATTTTATATATATTTATTTATTTTAATTGAATAAATTTTAATATTTATTTTTTTATCAATTATATTGTTAATTAAACTATATTAACTATGATTAATATCCTAATAAATCACTATTAATAATTTATAAATTAACTAAATATAATAAATTTTATTTAAACAATAAATCGCAAATAATTTTATTTTTAAATTAATATTGTCTCAATTAATTAATATTATTATTACGATTAATTTCAAATTTTAATTACTAATCTTTTTTTTTTCATATCCATTAATATGAACAAAAAAAAAGTAAAATCCGAAATCCTCCGTTTTCACCCCCAAAATCCCGTCCCCCAAATCCCCAAACCCTCGACGGCAAAGAAGCGAGGAGTTCACGCTGGGAGCTTGCTGCAGAAGCAACGGCAGCAACAGCGGCCATTGTTGTCGTTTGGAAGGATTTAGGTTAAATCCTGCTACACCACCGCCTCCGCCCCTAAATGATAAAATTTTTTGTTCTAAAAAAAAAATTGGTTTTTGTGCGAAGCTCAGATAGTTTATCTTATCAAAGATTGTCTTTTATTTATAGTTGCAATACTTGATTATTTTTATTAAATGATTAAGATACTTAAAGGAGTACCAAAAAAAAGAGGACGAAGCGCTAGAGTTGGACAGGCGATAGTAAATACGATATTAATTACCCAGGGACCATCGGGTATTTGGACATGCCAAGGTGGTTTTTCGTCTGGTGTATATCTGTGTGGCAGATGCCGCAATAGAGCACCTTTATCAGAACATCCTCCGGCCCAGTTTGCCTGCGAAAACATAAAAAAAAGGAAATTTTGTAAGGCGATGAGTGAGTAGTCATTGAGAGCTTTGATAGTTTGGTTGATACCTTAGGGTATATGTAAAAGGGGTGAGGATGCCGGAAGCGTCATGAGCGGCGTAGCCAGTGACGGTCTTCTCCGACGACACGCTGCCCATTGCTTCCGACGAGAGGGAGGAAAGTAAGCTGGGAAGAAGATGACAAAGCAAGGAAGGGTAGGTGCGAGAAGGAAGGTTAGGTGCGAGAAGGGGATCTGTAAAGAGAGAATTTATATAGTGGAAACTGTGAAGGAGAGATAGGGGAGTTGGTGGAGCGGAGAGACTGAGGAAGACAGCCGAGGCATTAGACTTTTTTAGTTTTTTTTACTATTTATTTAAATTTTTATTTTTTATTTTTTTTTATTTATGTGGTTAGTGATTTATGATAAATCTGAGGAATGCGGTTGGTGATGGGTTTGGTGCACGATAAAGTCAATTTGGACAACAGAGGGAAATTTCTCCCGCTACGTTGCTGTAGCACCGTTCGTACGGGTAGAAGGCTGATGGCAAAAAAAGTCAGGGGTGCCAAAATCTCACATGACCCAAAATTTGACTCGAATTCGATCCGAAAAATTTCGGGTTCGGATCAATCCATTTGGTGTATAGGTCGGATTTGGATTTATAATTCCGATCCATTTTGTAAATCATTTTGGGTTAGGGTTGATCCAAAAACTCGAAACAAACTTGGGTTGACCTGATAACAACCCACGCGTGACCTATCTCGTCAACATCGTTGCGTCACTCGAATCGCTGTCGTCAATCACGTCGTCATGTCTAATGTTTCATCAACCGCGTCAAATGACTGCGTGCCGCTGCTTCCGTTAGTTGAGGCCTAAATCACGTCGTGTGTTGATGTTTGCCACCGTCCCGCCTGCTTGGTCGAGTCTAAAAACTGAAATATGTCTTCTCATGTCGCTATTGCTGGCCACTGCCACAGTCCTGCCGGGTCGACGCCACTGCTGGTTTCCGCGATGCCGCTCTGCCTAAATCTTCCATCCTGCCAGCGTCGTCACGTCTTGTGAGTTAAGGGACCTAGAGGTCCCAGATGACCAGTCGGCCGGAGTCAACAAACCCGTTGTGTGCCGCAGCTCGCTCATGTAGCGCACATGAGCACTGATTTCTAACTGCCAGGGTCGACTCGGGTCAACCCGGTAATCCGCATGCGTCGGGTCCCGTTTGACAATCCTGATCTGTTTGCACAACCGGGTTGGGTTAATGTCAACTCGTTTACAGCCGAATTAAGTCGAATTCGACTCGAACCCGACCCGTTTACCCCAATTGACACCCCTAAGTGTGAGGGTCTTGTGCTGTCGGTGTATGTGGGTGTTGTTTCATTTAGGAACTAACATTTTGAGCATGCAGTTCATCTTAATTTATTAGTTAGAAGTTTAGTTTTTTTATATAAATTTGAGATTTATATCTATATGAATGCAATGTTGTGATTAAATTTCAATTCGATTTAAAACGAGAATAATATAATTTATTTATATATTATATTTATCTTGTTTTTAATTTAACTCTTAATAAGATATAATAGAGAAAGAATTGGCATAGCTAATCCATATAATTAGATAAAAAGTTGACGCTGTTGTTATTATATTTTTAATTAGCTAAATTTTTACATAAATTTTTTAAAATTTATTTCAAAATATAAAGCTATTTTGGACCCACACGTCCACTTACTTTTGTCCTTGTGTGTATTTGCAGGTTGAGTGAGAGGTCGGTCGAATCCTAAACAAATATTAGGAAAACGGGGTTTTATTAAACCATGAATCATCTTACAATTTGCTTAGTTCTAATCATTGGCAACCTCTAAAATAATTTGTGTGCACGGACGGCTTGGTGGCTTTAGTTAGGTAAAATTTGTACGGGCGATGTCTGGAGGTGAATCAAAATGTGCTATGTTATTTTTTTCTATGTATTGAGATTGTATGCCATTATGTACTGGATGACATGACGCATTCTGTTTCGTCTCTGGACGATTTGGTATCCCGTGTCCGTACTGAATAATTGCTCCTTAAGTAGGAGCCTTGCTCTCACTAAGAATATGTAATTGAAGTGCATTAACTATTAATTTAAATAATTATAATTAAATTCATTTAACATGAACAATAATGAAATAAATAAAATATAATTTGAAACATCTAAAAATATCATTTAAAAATAAGACACAAGATATCAGAAATTATAAATAGTATATTTTAAATATGTAAGTATTCTATGCTAGAATATTCATGACGGTAGAGAGAGTTTACTGTCTTAGCATATTATGAAGTTTATACAAGTCTAATAAGATATTTTCAGAGTAGGTCATATGAGACATACGATTTAATAGTAGGTTCAAGGTAAACCAACTTGGTTCAAGCCAAGTTAACTTAGTCTACTCAGTCTCAACATAAAAAAGACTCGCCAATCTACAAGAGAACTTGCCTCAAGTAGGCAATTATAATCTAAAAATTTAGACTAGTCAGCAAGTACAACTTATTAGTTGGTTCTTATGCTAAGTATTGAAGAAGCGGGTCATAGCGACTACTTAAGGAAGGATAACCAAGCTATTGATAGGCTACTTGCTTACTCAAGTATTAATGTATGCCAAACCAAAAACTTCTTAAGAGCTCGTCAAGTCACTTCACCAAGTTAGACATCTAGATCAAGGTATATACTTCTCTGATTTAGCAACCTTTATCATATAACTTTTAATATGTTATAAATATCATCATTATGAGCACTTTGGTATGATTATATAAAGAGTTCACAAGGTGGTTTTGTATATGTAATATTTGATAGTAAATAATCAAGATAAAGTAGATATAAAATGAGTACCACTAAATGTGTCAAAATTTAGATATAGAACACACAACATGCATCTTAGCATAATACATGCATAGTAATGAACATATTGAGTAAATTCGTATGCCAAGTAAATTGTGCTGAATTTGCACATGACATGTGCCAATTACTATTATTGTAAAATATATTATTGAAATTTGTGTGATTACAAGAAAGGCTACCTAGATATAGACTCATTCAGGTTAGTTAGAGCAAGATACTCTATACAGAAAGCTGGGCCGATAGGATTTCTTTTAAATAAAAGATTTGCAGTATAATCCTAATATAAGATACAAGAAAGAGAGTTATAAGTGGTTAAGATACTCCAAGGAGCAAGAGTGACGACTCTTAAAAGATAGCCACCCGACATACAGACACATAAATATGTGATATGATATGATAAGATATGACAATATTCATGAAAAGACCATATGATTAGTTAGATGTCATGACTTGCATTAATATACACATATATATGCATACATGATATAATAACTAAAGATAATATGAACATGCATAAGTTATATGACACATATGTAATATTATATATGATATGATATATGAGCATGATGCATGATGACACAAATGCACACACACATACACATGTGTGTATATATATATATATATGAGATTTCTACATATTGCATGCATAATAATTATGCACATGCATATATGATAGATCCTAAAAATGTCATTCATGATGTTACCCTGTATTGATAACTAATAGAGCCATCGTATAACAACATTTCTCTAATGATTCACATGATAGTATTTCCATATCCTTTATACTATATTGAGTTAGAATTGAGTTAATGATTACTGATCCTTTACCAAATTATGATTACTTATAATTCATATTATTAATAATCGTGATTCACTATGACTATCACTATTCATACATTTTAAATGTATAGATAGAACACACTATATTGTCATGACTTGAATAATTTCATGCATATTATTGTGTTTTTTGTGCATTGGATGTAGTGATAGGTTATGGTGATCTATTATGCTTTTCTCATTATATTTTTTCATGATTTAAAGGAAGGGTAAGGATCTAGTGGAGTGAGGCTAATCAGATCCAGATTTGATTTAGGTATTTCTTTTGTATTATATGTTTGCATTGTAATCATGAAATAATATTAAGATATGATGATTTAAGAGATGTATTCATAGCTTATGTAAATGATTCTTTTGGAAATGAAATAAAATACATGTTTTGATGAAATGAAAGTGAACATTTTGTTTTGTTAGATTTATTAACTTATATAAATTAATATTAATGACTCAATTAGATGATTAAAAGATATAGAAAAGATAATTCTTCCAAATTAGATCTAGGAACATGACATGAAAGATAGGCATCATTCTTTTTAGACTTTTCTAGTATAGAGTATAGTAGGAGTTTTCAGTTATGATTACATTTCACAGTTTGCTAAGTTAGTATTGCAGCTTATGGGAAGGTTGTAATATTTGAAGCTCCAGGACTCGATTTTTTTATAAACGGGTCGGGTTCGGGTTGACCCGTTTAGATACGGGTCGGGTCGGGTTCGACCCGAACCCGACGGGTTGACCCGAATTGACACCCCTATTACCTACCCTACTTTGATTTTTTTTTTATTTAAGTTTTAAAATGTCCAACTCATCTTAAATAAGTTTAAGGATTGAAATGATGAAGAGAAAAACCATAAGGGAAAAATGCTTTTGGGAGCACCATGGCTCTGGGAATAGCGTGTTGTGATGTTGTCCTGCCATTTTGGGAAGAGAATTTTAAGGTGGACGTTATTGCACTGGGTGGCATCGTCACGATGCCAAGATCTCAGGTAAAAGATGTTAGAACTTTACTTGATATAACCCACTAACAGAAGAGGCCATATGGTGTTAGATGGTGGTAGACTAAGCCGAAGATTTTTGGAGAACATTATAGATTTCTTTCAAATATTAACATACAATATAGCTACTTATTAACTTCGAAAGAATTGAAAATAAACTCAACAATTTTTTTTTTTTTTTCATTTCATTCATCTTCAAAATTTATATATAAAAAAATCTTTTAACTATGGTGTATGATTACAAACTAGAAGAAATGAGTACATAGGATAACCATGACTATACAAAAAAACCTGAACTAGTCAAAAGATCAGAACTACAGCCTTAGTGTAATATCCATCATCAGAAATTCAAGTAAATATCAATTAATGATTGTTAATTTTAATTTAACTAGCAATTATGTCTTAGAATGTAAAATGGGGATTATAAGTAATTAAGGATTGGATCAGCGAAGTGAAAATGAAAGTTGGGAAATTTATTATATGGGCACTATGGTGCCATGCATTAGCATTAAGATATCATGAAATATAGAGAAAAAATAGGAATTGGTTTTGCATTTCGACACCAGGAAGCACCACCGTTGGGCCGAGTCTCTAGTGAGTATATTCTAGAGAGTTTGAATTATTGTCTAGGAGCTTAGT